ACAACAATAATAATAATAATAATAATAATAACAATAATAATAATGCCAAATTATATAGATTTAACGCCTCTTCCAACATTGCAAGGTTATTTAAAAGGCGGGACCTCCGAATTTAACGTCCTTCTCTGACAGCACCGGGCCAAACTGGAAAATCCGAGTACAGTAGCTTTCCAAAGAACACAACAACAGACCGTGCTGAGCCTTACATTTAACCCTAAAACAAACCCTTGAACGTGCACTCTCACGGTTACGACTCCGGTCACTCAACTTACACACATACTAAACTACCGACGTTACCACCGGACTTCAATACACGGGAATTTGGAAAGATTTACTAATAATAGAAAACAGAAAGCATTTGTATAGCGCAAATTTCTGCTCAGCAGCAAGCTCTTTAAGCACTTTCCAATCAGTATTATTACCTCAGGCAAACCTGATATCGTTCTGAAACAATCAGCACTTCCTGGGAAGCATTCAGTGCAAGCCGCCATTTCACAGGCGCTGGAACACTAACATACTGACAAGCCTTCTCATGGGATGCACAGGTATTTGAACGAGCAATTGATAACAATTGGTCATGGGCTAATGTAAACTTCACGCACCCATCGACACAATCTATTAGATCATATAGGAGGCTGGCTGCTTTGACATTTTATTTTCTGTGGCAGCTTTGGCGGTGCAGGACATAGTATAACCCCAACAGTTAGATGGAGATACAATTATAGCTTGCTCACTCTCCTTTGATCATGTTAAAAAAAATTCTAGCCCATTTATTGATTTACTAATACGCATGTAACTTTGCATGGCACTCCCATAAGCCAGCGACTAACTTTTTTTTCTTTTAAATTTTGATCCAGTAATAAACAAGTTTCTTTATTTGGGCCAAACGCCTTTGGGTGCATACATACGATCACTACCAAAAAGAAAAAAGATCGCCAGTAACCTTACCTACAATTCACTAAATTCGATTTCCTTCAAAGACCGTGTCGACGTCTCCGTGTGAGTTTCGAAAAGTACTCACCTGACTGTTGGGCCGAGTTTTGTAGGCGTGCGGTAAAGTATGGCTTTGGAGAAAATAGGTCAACCTTTTGATATCTTAGCTGCATGTTGTATAACCCCCCCCC